TCCCCAGACCCGCGATCGGCCTCTCATACCTGCCGACGCTGCCAGCGCCCGAGCTCGCAGCTTTTCGCACTCCAACCTGCAACCCCACGACACCCAAGACCAAAAACTGCTGCTACCTACGATGGCGATCGCTGCCTCTGTTGACAGTCCCGTTAAGCAGCAGCTTGTGGATAAGCTGCCAAAGCGGTTCAAGGGAATCAAGTTTGGTATCCAGTGAGTTTCACTTCGCGTGGTGGCATGGTCATCACTCTTATCTTGGTCCTCCCAAGCTGACTTTACAACCTCCGCTAGATCCAATCAAGACATCGCCAACCAAGCTGTTCTCGAAGTTTCCGACCGTTTGCTCTATGACATTGAAAATAACCGCGCTCCATATCGCCACGGCCCTCTAGACTCTCGACTGGTATGTGATGTTGTTAACGACTTGCGAATAGTATAGTTCAGTTCTCACCTTGTTTTAGGGCACATCGAGTAAACAAGGAAGATGTTCAACTTGTCAAGAATCCCTCAAGGATTGCAATGGACATTTTGGTCATGTCCGTCTTCCTTTACCCGCTTTCCATGTGGGCTATCTTCGCTTTATTATGTCAATTCTTCAGGAAATTTGCAAGGTAGGCCAGCCGTTATATGGATGACTCCTCCATAGAGAGCTAATTCTTTCCTAGGACTGCGGCCGAGTCTTGCTCGAAGAGCCCGAGCGACAACAGTTTCTCAAGGAACTGAGACGACCGTTTTTGGATAATTTGCGACGGACCCAGATATGCAAAAAGATTAACGAGCAGTGCCGGAAGATTAAGACATGTCCTTACTGTGGCTCTCTGAATGGTCAAATTCGGAAGATCGGTGTTCTGAAGCTTGCTCACGACAAGTTTGTTGCTTACAATAAATCAACTGCCGTGAAGAAAGTCCCGCCAGAGAGCAAGATCAAATTTGACAACTCATTCAACGAGGCAAAACGCGAGAACCCGGAGCTGGACAAACACATCAGGAAGGCTATGGAAGACCTCAACCCCCTCAGAGTTCTCAATCTCTTCAAGATGATCAGTCCTACCGACTGCGAGCTTCTAGGTCTGGATCCTGCAGAAGGACGACCAGAGATGTTTATCTGGCAATTCCTACCCGCTCCTCCTGTCTGTATCAGACCATCCGTCGCTCAAGACAATGCGAGCAATGAGGACGACATCACGACCAAACTAGCTGATATCGTGTGGGTTAGCGGCATGATTCGGTCTGCTCTGCAGAAAGGTTCTCCAGTACAAACCATCATGGAACAGTGGGAGTATCTACAGACTCAGATCGCCATGTATGTCAATAGTGACGTTCCTGGTCTTCAACAGCCCGGGTTTGGTAAAGCCACGAGAGGTTTCTGCCAGCGTCTGAAGGGCAAACAGGGTCGCTTCCGCGGCAACCTTTCCGGAAAGCGTGTTGACTTTTCAGGAAGAACCGTCATCTCTCCCGACCCTAACCTTGGTATTGACCAAGTTGCTGTGCCACAACTAGTTGCGAAGAACCTGACCTACCCAGAAAGGGTCCAGCGACACAACCTCGAGAAGCTTCGCCAATGCGTCAAGAATGGACCAGACATTTGGCCAGGAGCTCAGCGGGTCATCAAGTCAGATGAAGGCGGCTACTTACAATCTCTTAAATTCGGCAATAGAGAGTACATAGCTCGAGACCTCAAGTTTGGTGATATTGTTGAACGGCACCTTGAGGATAACGACATTGTTCTCTTTAATCGTCAACCTTCTCTGCACAAGCTAAGTATTATGAGCCATCTCGCCAAAGTTCGCCCCTGGAGAACCTTTAGGTTGAACGAATGTGTTTGTGGACCTTATAATGCCGACTTCGACGGCGATGAAATGAACCTTCATGTGCCACAGACGGAGGAGGCTCGTGCTGAGGCCATCAATCTGATGGGCATCAAGCACAACCTAGCCACACCAAAGAATGGCGAACCTGTCATTGCTGCTACTCAGGATTTTATCACAGCAGCTTTCCTGCTGAGTAGTAAAGACCGGTTTTTTGACCGCAAGACCTTTACCTATCTCTGCATGCATATGATGGATGGGAAGACACACCTGGACATGCCACCTCCAGCCATTATTGCACCTCAATCGCTTTGGACAGGCAAACAACTCTTCAGTATGCTCATGAGACCCAACAAAGACTCGCCTGTCAAGGTCAATCTTGACGCAAAATGTAGAGCTTACAAGGCTCGACCTGGCCAATGCCCCGATATGGACCCCAACGACGGATGGCTTGTTGTCCGCAACTCGGAAGTCATGTGTGGTCGCATGGATAAGTCTACTGTCGGAACTGGCAAGAAAGACTCAATTTTTTATGTGATTCTCCGTGATTTTGGACCAGACGAAGCTGTCATTGCCATGAACAGGCTGGCTAAACTATGTGCGCGGCAACTCACAAACCGAGGATTCTCGATCGGTGTGGGAGATGTTTTCCCGACAGAATCACTAAATAAAGAGAAGGAGAAACTTGTTGCTGTTGCCTATAAGCAGTGTGATGACCTGATCGAAACATTCAAGGCAGGAAAGCTTGAGAAAGCTGCTGGCTGTAACCAAGAGCAGACGCTCGAAAACTCCATGTCCGGCATTCTCAGCAAAGTTCGACAGCAGGCAGGTTCTTATTGTGTCGACACATTAAGCCGTAATAACGCCCCCCTTATCATGGCCAAATCCGGATCAAAGGGCTCAGATATCAACGTGGCGCAGATGGTCGCTCTTGTTGGGCAGCAGATTATCGGTGGTTCACGTGTTGCAGATGGGTTCCAGGACCGAACGCTTCCACATTTCCATAAGAACGCTCGACAACCCCCATCGAAAGGATTCGTCAAAAACAGTTTCTACACTGGCCTATTCCCTACCGAATTCATCTTCCACGCTATGTCGGGCCGTGAGGGTTTAGTCGATACGGCCGTCAAGACCGCTGAGACTGGTTATATGTCTCGGCGATTAATGAAATCTCTCGAAGATTTGTCTACTCAATACGACGATACTGTCCGGACGTCCGGAGGCGGGATTGTTCAGTTTCAGTTTGGTGCAGACAAGCTTGATCCTGTGGATATGGAGGGCTCGGCAGAGCCAGTTCATTTCCAACGGACATGGACCCATGCGGAGAGTTTGACAGTGGATAACAGCGAGACCTCCATGACACCGGAGGAGATTCGATCCTTTTGCGATAGAGTGCTGGAAACTGAACGACGGCGTTATGTCAGGCGCGGGTTACTGCATAATGAGATTTTGGAATACGGAGATACGAGTGATTATGGTATCGATGAGCACGAAGGTGCCCGAGGATTCCTCAAAGCGATTGAACGACACGTGGAAGGGCTGGCGTCGAAACTGGAAACCGTACGAAAGCTGGCTGGATTCCAAGATGGTACCATGGTAAGGTCGACTGCTCAAGATCACGCGGACCGAACTGCCAAGGTGACGCTGTCAACTCTTCGGCTCTTTATCAAGATGTGCCTGGAGAAGTACAAGAAGGCGCATGTTGAACCCGGACACGCTGTCGGAGCTGTCGGAGCCCATTCAATTGGTGAGCCAGGCACCCAAATGACACTCAAAACATTCCACTTTGCTGGTGTCGCAGGTATGAGTATCACGCAAGGTGTTCCCCGAATCAAGGAAATTATCAACGCGTCAAAGGCTATTAGCACACCTGTCATCACATGCCCTCTCGAGAACAACGAGCAAATCGAGGCAGCTCGAGTTGTGAAGGGGCGAATCGAGAAAACATATATCTCGGATGTTCTGCGGTTCGTTGAAGATGAATGGCGCACGACAGAAGGCAACGTTGTTCTACAAATTGACTCTGCCGCTCTTTCAGATATGCACCTTGGCATTGGCCCTTATGATATAGCTGAGGCTATTTGCAAGCAGCGCAAACTCAAGGTGCAAAGAGATGATCTATCGATCGATGGAGAGCGTATCATAGTTCGCGTACGGGACGTGACCGATCCGGCGACGAAGAGGACTACGGCTCGCAGCAAAGCTGCTGCTGCTGAGACTGGAGACATGCTGTTGAGGGCCAATTTCTTGCGCCGTTCACTTCCTAATGTCCCCATCTCAGGTTATCCTGAAGCTACGCGAGCGATCATTCAAACATCGGAACAGAGCACTCATACTGTGCTTGTTGAAGGTTACGGTCTCCGGGAGTGTATGACCACAGAGGGTGTTATTGGCACAAAAGCCCGTACTAACAATGTCATGGAATGCCGGGATGTACTTGGTATTGAAGCAGCCAGAACCACCATTGCTGACGAGATTGGTGAGGTGATGGGGGATATGGGCATCGATCCGCGACACATGCAACTTCTTGCCGACGTTATGACCTACAAAGGTGAAGTTCTCGGCATTACTCGTTTCGGACTGTCCAAAATGCGCGATAGCGTTCTACAGTTGGCCTCGTTTGAGAAGACCCCGGATCATCTCTTCGAAGCCGCAGCTGGCATGAAAACCGATCAAATCGAGGGTGTCAGTGAGTGTATCATCATGGGACAAACAATGTCGGTCGGCACTGGTGCATTCCAAGTTGTTCGTCGCTTGGGTATAAGGGAGGGAGATATCAAGCAGAAACCGACGCTGTTCGAGGATGCGTGGACAGAGGAGACGGCACTTAAGCGCAAGGCTCGCCGAAAGGTCTGAGAACAAAACTGTATCTACTGTACTGGATTACATTGCGTGGCGTGATGGATGCATGCCGAGATAGCGATACCATGTGATTTTTTTATTTTAGCACTGGGGCGAAAGGATACAATATTATGAACTTTCATCTATGAGGTAAAAGAACATTCATAAATCAGTGGTAAGATCCCTAGTTCATTTTGAGGTCACATTTCTCTCCTGGTCTCAAGACTAAGACAAACGACATTTCGTCATACTTTGAACCACGTGATCTGACTACTGCATGGCACCGTGAATGCCACATTAGAAGTTGAGTACCTATCTAAACAACATCACCACTCTGAAAAGACGTACGCCATGTGCGGAAGATATGCATTGGCTCTCGTGAGTATTCATTGAAATGCAGATTGCTAGTGAGTTTGCTAAGCACGACTTGTAGCGGCCGTCCCAAATCCGTCAGATGCTCCAGGAAGACGGACTAGAAATTGATGATGCACCGGAGGATACCGGGGATGGTGCCCCTCGAAGCAGCTATAACTTTGCCCCAGGATATCACGGTATCGTTTACCGCGCTAGCACATCAGATCACAACACTACACGAGAAGATGAACAAAGTGAGAAGCAGAACGACGCCACCCAGGATACCAAGGACTCAAAAGACCATATCAAGCACAAGCTCCAGTCAATGAAATGGGGTCTTATCCCTTCGTGGACAAGAAGGAAACCAGACTATGGTTCCATGCTAAAGACCATCAACTGCCGTGATGACTCCCTCAGCTCACCTGGAGGAATGTGGGCCAGCATGAAGACTCGCAAAAGATGCATCGTGATTGCTCAAGGATTTTATGAGTGGCTCAAGAATGGAAAGGAGAGGTTGCCTTACTACGTGAAACGAAAGGACGGACATTTGCTGTGCTTTGCTGGCCTTTGGGACCGCGTACATTTTGAAGGTAATGACGAGCTTACGAGGTGTCACTAAAGCAAGACTGACATCCGACAGGGACGGGAGAAACATTATACTCGTACACAATCATCACCACAAGCACCAACTCAGAACTCAAATTTCTTCACGATCGTATGCCTGTGATCTTTGATCCTAATTCATCGAGTATCGCGAAATGGCTTGACCCATCCCGAAAACAGTGGTCCGATGAAATGCAAGGACTTCTGAAGCCGTTCGAAGGAGACCTGGATATTTATCGAGTTACTCAAGATGTTGGTAAAGTCGGCAATAACTCACCCACCTTCATCGTCCCATTAGACAGTAAGGCGAACAAGTCCAACATAATGAATTTCTTCAATAGTGACTACCAAGGGAATCAGAAGCCATTACAGCCAGCGACGGATAAAAGGGCTCAAGCTTTCAAAGAAGAGAAGAGACCTAGCACGACCGTTCAAAAAGATACGCGATTGGGATTGGGTGCTGAAGGATCGACGGCTATAAAACGAAAGGCTGAAGAGAGTCCTAGTCCCTATAATATACCAGAGGGCAATCCAAAGCGTCAACATAGAGACCATGTTAGCGCATTAAGAAATAAAAGGCAGGATAAAGAGAAGTGTAAAGAAAAAGGAGTAGAAAAAATAACTAAATTTTTTAATAATAAATAATAATATATAT